CGAGTGTATGAGTTGGCACTTCGGGTTAGGTGGCGCGCGCGCGGGGTCATCGCCGGTGCTGGAGAAGGAGGAGGGGGACATGGTTGTGGCCTTGTGGGGATGGTCTGGACAACAGCTCAGGGAGGCTAGGAGGCAGGAGCAGGGGAAGAAGACGAACGGTGTGCGAACTGAGGAACACGATTTTCCTTTTTTTTTCTTTCTTTCTTATATGCCACGTAGGAGCATATGTTGCTCCAGACATTGCCACACTTCCCAACGGTGGCACAGTGACGGTGACAGAGGACGGAAAATTTTAGGTAGCGCGGACTCTAAAGCATAAAACTAATCAATGCAAAATCAAAGTACTTCATGAAATGATTTCTTTCATGTGATGTACTCCCTCCGTCCAGAAATACTTGTCATCAAAATGGATAAAAGGGGATGTATCTAGACGTATTTTAGTTCTAGATACATTTTTTATTCATTTTGATGACAAGTATTTTCAAACGGTGGGAGTATATTTATAGTACACGTCAATATTGATTTCAACCCAACATGGAGGAGGGCGTTATTTTGTTTTTGAGTGGATTACTTCCGTACTCCCGGTTCATGTTATTGGTCGAACCAAAAGCAATCCTAGAAAGATTGCATTTGGTTCTAAGTTGTAACAAGAGTCGGGATTATACTGCGAAATATAATTTGAATCTGATCTTTATACAACGAGGAACTCAGCGGGTAAAGAGGGGCGAATTCTCATACAATCTGTGATGAGGAAAAGACAAAGCCGTCACTCACGGTCTGTTTTGTTTATGAATATAAAAAAGGTGCATACGATATCATACCACGTTCATATTGCTTTGAAGTTCCCGTGGCATTTCCATCCCCGGAAGAAGTTCCCGTGCCATGATACGTTTCTTTAGTGATCGGTTTCTTTGTATTTGTCAAGAAAAGAAACACAAATCGTATGACCGGCCACGTGCATTTGTTTCCTGTGCACATGGATCAGGTACGGCCTGGGCGCTCACCTTCCCATCCTCTCGAGCATGAAAAAAATCAATAGATTTATCCCGACTAGAATACTACTCCCTCCATCCGGAAATACTTGTCGAAGAAATAGATGAATCTAGACGTATTTTAGTTATAGATGCATTCAATTTTATCCATCTCTCCGACAAGTATTTCGAGACGGAGGGAGTACTAAACATGCACACATGCTCATTTTTGCAAATCCGACACATTTCCGTTCATTTTTAAACAAGTAAGTAGTACATGTAAAGATCAACAAGATCGGCACCTGCTACAAGCCGACGGTGTAGCTAGCGACAAGGCAGTTCACCCATTCTGTCAACGTATTATCTGTATGTATTTTAAAAATTTATTTATTTATGCATGGTTTCAAAAGCGTTCAACTCAATGTGCACACTTAATTAGAGACAAGTAGGGCGACGTCAAGCACAGGAAAAACATAACATCGTGATTAATGCTCATTTATGTAAATGCTGCGTATGTTTCCTTCGTATTTGGACAGGAGAACGCCCTGTGCAGGCACGCGTGCACACGTACATAAACTAGCCACATGTGATCAACGTACGTACGGCATCGGCCACACACGAAACACGATGCATGCGTGTAGGTAGGCACGATCGAGGCAATGATCCACTCGTTCTGTCCATGCTGCATGTCTGCCTTTCTAAACGATTTCAACCGTCCAAGTCGTGAAAGCTAGCTAGCGTTCAACTCAACGTGCACCAGATCGACGAGACCGACCGACCGAAAACGTTTCCACTCACGCCTGAATGAATGAAGGAAGGAATTCATCGGTCGTGCATGTATTGATATTATTTTTTGTGGTGGTAGTGTGCATGTATTGAATTGTAGATATTGACCGTGTTGCCTCCGGTACGCCCCGTCGACTCGACGAGGGCCGTGGTCGTGGTTGGTGGAGAACTGGAGTAGTAGAAAGAGTTCCATGCATGCATGCATGGCAGACGTTGGTGGTGGTTTGGTTTGGGTGGAAACCGACCCCACGTGTGTGTTGGGGTCTCCTTGGCTAGACTGGTCAAGCGCATCCACATGTTCCTGCATGCATGTTTTTGCAAAAAACACTGATCGATGGATCGAGCTCGGTTAAGTGCGTTTATGACAGACGGGACCCGTCAGACAGGCTGATGTGGCACCACTTAACCTCTCAGATATAACGGTGATGTTTGATAACGTTATCCTCATGTGGGGCCCTATGGGGGTCCACCTGTCATCCAAAGAAAAAAGAAAAAAAATTGCCTCCTACTCTTGTTATCCTCACGACCCCGCACGAGGGCATGGTGCGAGAGATGCATCGCGCGGCCACCGCCCAACCTGCGTACGCCACCGGCCGGCAACCAACCAGCATCTCCAACTCGGGCAGGAATCCCTCACCGGGACAGCGGGCGCGCTGCTCGGCTTCACCTGCGCGTTCCTCGTCACCGGCCGCACCCCGCCCCCGCTGCAACTCACAGAAGTTGCTCGACCCCAACGGCGGGCCGGCGTTCCATCGCATGGCTCCCTCCGGTGCACGTTGTGCCACGACTGCGACGAGGCAACCGACCGCCTGATCTCGGAGCTCCAACCGTTCCCGCCTCGCCGGCGTGGCCACGCCACCCGCCGACGACCATCTCCGCGTCCCGCTGCAGTCGGCCGGCCGAGGAGCTCGAGGTGGCTGCTCTCCAGCCGCCAGCCTCGACGCGGGCTTGCTGCGACACAGGCTCCTTCCCCCATACCCTGATGGCGTGCCTCCTCGCCGGCGACGAGACCCATGGGCGCGTCGTATTGCTGCTCTGCTCGTGTGCTTGTGCAGGCCAAATCCATGGAGGTGATTGTCTTTTTGTTTTTGATTGAAGGGTGACCCTGTGAAATTGTAGGGGCTGGTTTGTAAAATGTTGAAGAGAGGAGTGTGACGCTGACAAGCTGGCCCCATGTCTAGCAATCGATTTAATGTAACGGTGTGAGAAATTTTTGCCACGTAAGCCTGATTGGTGGGCCCCGTCTGTCATAAACGCACTTAACCGAGCTCGATCCGTCGATCAGTGTTTTTTACAAAAAAATTACCGTAGACGTGGTGTTTTCTGCAAAAAAAAAAATGTATTGTAGTATTTTTCGCAAACCTATCCTTCAAAGTGGTAGTTTTGTGCAATTTACTCGGAAGGGTGAGATCGATCAATCCTTCCTTTCCGGGAACCTGCGCCTTCCCTTTTAGGACGTTGACAAGTACTCCTACCAGGAGTGTTTTTTTTCCTTCAACGAGGACCTAGGTGGTGATTGGTAATCGACTAATCGGTCTTGCGTTTTAGTGCCACTGATTCACATATTTTGATGAAGTTTGTAGAATAAATATTAACATGTACAAATGTCATTAGATTCATTATTGAATGTACTTTCGTATCATATAGATTTGTTAAAAACGGAGGGAGTAATTACTAAGAGCAAGTTGTATAATAGTGGGTTATAAACCCGTTTACATGACACTTGTGCCTATGTGAAGAGGAGAGAGACTAAAGGGCAAAAGGAGTTGGCTCTCATGCAAGGTGATGGCTATAAATTACATGACAGTTTCATATATCCATCAACTGGCCATATTATTAATCCTGCTCTAATTTAGGTACGACCAGCGGGATCAAGCAGCTGGTGACGATGAATAACGATAATGAATTGATCGATCATGTCGACGTCCAATTGTGCTAACGCCGAGAGACGACCGGCGCCGCACGCAGAGTCGGTTAGTCAGTCTCGGTCGAGTCCGCAGCCCAAACTGCCTGCCTGCCTGCCGCCGCTGCTGCTGATCATGTGCTTGGTTTCGTCTAAACCTGCGTCCTGGCGTAATTAATTACTTCCTCTATATATGATCGCTTTGACTTGACCATAATATGATTCTACTAAAAAGGAACCGATCGGTATGTATGCATGTTGACAAAATGTGTCGTCCATTTTTTCTTCCCTCCAACGGGGAGGGCCTACCTGCCTACGTGACGCATCAGCCGTCCGTCCACCCGCGTTTACTTGGATTCGAGCCATGATCATCACCTCCAAGTCCAGCTGTGCTGTGCTAAGCACGCCCGGAGACGACCGACGCCGGCACAAAATCCATGGCTAAACCACTCGCGCGATGACCTTGACAAGATCATCATCTTTGGGTTTCTAGATCTCCAAGGGCAATCGGCTTGCTTACAGAGGGGTCTTGCTATGGGGCAGGATCTTGGCTGCGCTAATATTTTCCTGGAATCTGATTCTCTTGAGTTAATGGAATCATGCAATGGAATCATTAAAGTTTGGAGCCCATACACGGCAATCTTGGCGGACTGTTTTTTGAAAGCACATGACATAGGTTCGATGAGCTCTTGCATTGTCGAGGGATGCTAATCCAGCGACCCATAATTTAGCTAGGCTTTCCTTCCTATGATTCTAAAGTAGAGGAGCTAGGCTTTCCTTCCTATAATTCTAAAGTAGAGGTGGATTGGGATGGCGATCCTCCAAGCTTTATTCTTTCGGACATGTCGTTTGATGCAACTATATAGCTTTCCCCGGAAAAGGAAAAAAAACTTTCTTACTATAGCTTCAGGCTTGGGGACAGAAATGGGGAGGGTTTGAGAGACACCCTCCTAACTTAACGATCTCAGTATCATCAATAAAGTCGCCGAAATTTCAAAAGAAAAGAGGAAAGAGAGAGTACAGAACTCTCCAGCTCTGGAGCTGCTTGGATTGGCATAGAAATCCAACAAGGCTTTGCAAGCACACGGGCAGGGCAGTTGCTAGCATCAAAGTTTCGCATTCGACAGTTAACATTACGGATCCATCTCGCGCATATTCGTCTAACATACAAGCTCATGAGCAAGTTTACATGTCCTGTCCCAGTCCCGCCGAGATTTAGAGCAAAAAAGGCCCGGCACCAGCAACGCAGTCACTGCCACTAAACCCTTCCTGCGTTTGCACATCACAGCACAGCGGACCATATATAGGGCTAGCAGCTATTGGTCCAGGACGCTGGCGGTCTATCTGTACTGCTCGGGGAGCTGGTACCCCGTCATGACGATCTTGTCCGCGAACATCTTGCCCGTCTTGGGCATGATGTGCCAGTGCATCGTCAGGTTGAAGTCCCTGCCCTTCAGGTTGCTCCCCTGCAAATGACACAGACACGGCATGGATCAAACAACCGTGCAGATGGAGATTCCAACGCATAGTCAAAGGATAATCATAAAAGATGATTTGCATCAAATTAACACACAGCCAAGGCAACACGCTTGCCTGGTCGATAAATCTGTACTTGTTTGTGGTATGGATCAAGAACTTGGCGTGCTCCTTCGCCGGTATGATTCCGTCCCAAAGGGAGACCTGTCATATATAATTAAACCCGAAGCAATTATGTAAGTTAAAGGCAATAACTTAGATTGCACAAGATAACTGACGCAAACAAGGAAAATTGACTCAATAAGGCAGCAACTAATATTATAATGCCAGAAAATAATGAGCCTTCCTCTATGATACAGATATATATCATGTATCATGGGCACAGAATAAAGAGCATAGACCGGCACACTAGAAGTTCAGAAAACCAACAGAAGTAGGGCATATATGAATGATATGGTCAAGCTAACATTCAGTAGATCATGCCAAATCAGCCAACTTCAGCATCTTTGTAGTTCATACAAATATGTCTGATTCAACTTCAGTTCATCAAAATTCCAAATTCCGGAAGCAAATGTCAAATCAGTGGTGCAATCAAAAACCAAACCAGGCTGAGTTTAGACAGTTTGGCACATCATGATAGTATAGAATGGAATTCTTAAGAATGAAGCAGCTGAACTGATGCTAGAAATGGACATCAAATGAGCTAAACTTTGGTGGAATTCGATCGATTTCGTCTAGCATTGCCGTCCAGTTCTTACGGGCAGATAACAACCAGAACTTATTGCCAGCTGAATAGCAGTAACTAGGTTCAGATTGAAAATTCATATTGGATTCACACATCAATCGTGTAACCATATAGCAAGTTAATTTTGGTCCAAATTTAGGAAAAATTGGAACCATTAACTATATTATTTGTTATTATTTGTTATTTTGATAAATTCTATTTGTTAGTAGTGAACGGTTCTAAAATGGGTATTGTATCCCAAATAGTGTTTCCTTAATGGCATAACAAAATCAAATTGATTTACGGCTAATCAGTATCAATTAAAAAAAAGAATTATGATATTGATATAGTGTGACCTGACCCCTGTTGCTCCAAGTGAAATTCTTTCCAAAACCATCAAATATATATGCAATGCGTACATGCAAATTGTCTGGAATTGAGGAACTGTGGACCAGCAGAAGCTTTGTGCCATACTACCATTATTGCAGGTTTGCATTAATCATATGAGCATATATACTGGCCTACAGGACCATGTGAGGAACTATATTTTGGGTTCACTAATACTAATAAAGGGCAGCCCGGTGCACGTAGCTCCCGCTTGCGCAGGGTCCGGGGAAGGGTCCGGCCACTTTGGGTCTATAGTACGCAGCCTTTCCCTACATTTCTGCAAGAGGCTGTTTCCAGGACTTGAATCCGTGACCTCATGGTTGTCACAAGGCGACAGCTTTACCACTGCGCCAAAGCTCCCCTTACTAATACTAATCTGATAACTTATTTTTTATCAAGATCTTCAACCAAGCTTTTTTCACCTGGCTTCGGTAGCACACATTTTCAGTTAGTTTGGCCAAATTTAGCAACTATCCTGTTTATAATTGATACAAATATGGTCGCTCCAACTTTAGTTTCATCCAAGTTCCGGATTCAAAAACGAAATGGTAAATCAGTGGTAAAATAAATAGGCAGCCCAGCAGTATATGTAAAGCTGATTATCTTAGTCCATTCCATTTACATTTCGGAGAGTTCAAGTGGTTTCAGGCCAAGTTTAGACAAGTTAGCACATTATGAACTACACAATGGAGCTATTGAAAACAAAGCATCACAATTGATGATAGAGATGGATAGAAAAGGTGGTAAGCTCCGGCTGAATCTGATTATTTTTGAAAAGTTTGGGCCAAACACCATTGTCGAAAGATCACAATCACTACTACCATTACTGGCTGC